AGTGTGGAATCACTTATTATTTTAATCCCTTATTTTCAGGGAAACAGAGTGCTGGCATAAGTTGGCTACACAGTAGGCACCAGGTGTCCCCATTCAATGTAGTCCCATGCTGTGGCCATTTCAACAGCCCCTGCTCTCCCATGGCCACATGTGTCCCAGCAAGCACTGGCCACAGCAGAGCCACTCTCTGTCCCCTTAGGTCCCATCGGTTTGTGCAGGCCTGCCCCCACCCCCCTTCCACAGGGAGCCCCTTCCTCTTGAGGGAGCCCCTGCTCCCCCGGAGGAAAGCGGGTCTGGGATGGTGAAGTGTGCGGGTGGGGGTAGGGGTGGTGGTGTGTTTTCATCCTGGTCTTGGGTAGAGAGGTCAGGTCAAAGTGTCTTGACCCTCCCAAGTCTACTTCATTCCATGTTGCCTGGCCTAGCCTGCCCGAGGGCGGGCCTGACATCTGGGGTACAGATTAGCGGGTGCCTCCGAGACCTCTGGGAAAGGAGGTGGAACCAGGATAGACTCTAAACAGAAACCCCATCACGACTGCCCTCTGCTTGGAGCCAGCGCCTAGCAAAGGGCCCAGCAAGGCATACCTGCAGGCCGGCCCTCCAGCCCCGGCCCAGGGCCCAGCCTTCTCCATTCCCTTCCGCCCTTCCATCTTTTCTCACGAGCCTCTTTTTCCTTGTCTCTCAAATGGTGAGTCACATGTGCGAGACGCTGTGGCCGTGGTGTCCCTTCCCGAGCCATTCCTAATAGCCCAGTGGCCACCAGTGTCCCCCCTCCCAGCTTGATCCCCTTGGGCGGTATCCGCTGGGCTGTCCTTTCACCTCTCAGCAGCCCTCAACCCCTGGAGGGCCTCCGACTTCCTGGTGGACTGCAGGGTTCTCTATGGTCTCCTGTTCTTCCTACAGCTGTGACTGTCTCCATTCTGACCTCTCCACCTGTCCCTCCTGCTGTCATCCCCACCTCAGCTGCTCTGGCCCTCCCTACCTGAAACCTCTCATTTTCCAAGTCTCCACTCTGTCAACAGTCCCCATTGTCCTCTCTCTCATTGTCCTCGACTTCCTGCCAGCCACCAGATGCCCATCGCCACACACCTCCCGCCGCCCAGATATCAACCACTGCTCCGCTGCTTCCTCCCTCCCTGGCGATGGCCCCACACTCAGCCGCTCCGGAGGGTGACCAGAAGGCCTCCTCATACACCAGCCCGACCACCCCACCCCCGTTGTCACTGCTCAGCTCTGAAACCCTCTGGCTCACTTCCAAATCTCACCAGCCCAGCTTTCCTGGCACATGAGCACTGACTGGCAAGGGTCTCACTGCCCCAAACAGTCCACCCTCAGCCTGACATTTCAGGATGCCCCGCCTCTGCCTAGCTTTCTTCTCCTCACTCCCTGGTCCATTAGTGCCTCCCCTCCTCCAGCTGGGGAGCGTTCTCCACCACCCCCTTAAGGCCCCACTCAGAGCCTCCTCCCGTGATTCTCTGCCGCTGTGCTGTGGTGGGTCTCTAGGCAACTCCTCACTAAGCAGGGGCCTGGAGGCCTGCAGTGTGCACTAAATCGCTGGCTCTGCCATGTGAGCCCACTCGGCCTTGGATACTGACAAACCCAGAGTCTCTCTCCTCTCCAGATGGAAACTGTAACTGCCACTTCTGAAGGGCTCTCATCAGGAGCAGCTCCGGATTCTTTGTCTGCCACCCCAACTCTCCCACTTCTTTAGGGCGAGAGGCCCTCCCCACAACCACGTGCTCCATCCTCAGAGAAGGGGCACTGTGGGCTTTGGGTCAGGTTCCACTGGTCCTACTTCTGTGCCCTTGAGAAGGTGACAGTTCTTCACCTGTAAAATGCAGATGACAGCACCTACCCCATAGGTGCTGGTGACGATACTTTAAAACAAGGGTGGGGACTTTTGTTTGGTCAAAGGCCATTGGATATTTATAACATCATTGGAAGGCCATCCTGGTGAAACATTTAATTAACTCAATGTGATGGCTAGAAGTGCTTCTCTTTCAGGGCGTGGGATGTTAGCTGGCATTGATACTCTTGCTGGCTTTACATTGCCTGAGGGAGAAAGGCAGTCTCAGAAGCCCCCAGGGGCAGTTCTATCCTCTCCTATAGGGCTGCTCTGAGCCAGCAGTGACTCACTGGAGTTTGGTTTGGTCACAGCCCGTGGGCTGGACGTTTCCCCACCTCAGCTTCAAAACAAGGCCCATCACCCAGTACACACTCAGTCATGGGTGGGATTCCCCGGGCCTTCTGTCCTGACTTCCCAAGGTTAATTTTAACTTCCTCAGTGAGGGTCTGCCTTTTTTGCATGACGTCCTTTTCCAGGGGCTGGTCTCTCCTGGCA